CATGGCAGGGCTGTCCGTGGTGTTTTGAGCAGCGGGAGGCAGGCATTTTTGAGTGAGGATGACTGTCGTTCATGCACACACGCAAATACAAACACACGCACACACAAATGCGCATAAAACCACACATAAATGCACACACACGCACACGCACGCACACACACGTACACACACAAACAACAGTGACGCAGCAAGAGCTCATGTCGCCGACCTGATCTCGCCGGTGAAAGCGCCGCTGGCGACCTTGTAGGAGTTCTGGGCGGCGGTGGCAAAGGAGGCCGGGAGCTGCTGGCGAACGTAGTCCAGGTAGAGGGCGGGGGCACCAATGACGACCTCCACGTTGTCGTCCACCTTGGCTGCGCCCCAGGCCTTGGCCAGCTCGGCGATGGACGCCTTGCTGCCGTTCATTTTCCAATTGCCGCCCACAAGGAAGCGGCGGCCCGCAGCACCTGCTGTCGTCGACATGGTCTTCACCACCACAGATCGCAACATGTGTGTGTGTGTGTTGTGTATTGTGTTGTTGAATTGTGTTGGTGTATTGTGTTGTGTATTGTGTTGGTGTATTGTGTTGGTGTATTGTGTGTGAGCGGTATTGTGTGTGAGCGGAATTGTTGGTGCAAACACAGAGACCTGAGCGAGCAGAGGCACTGCAATGGATGTGACATGAAAAGCATGCACTCCACACTCCACTTCACAAAACCAGCCACAATCACACACCTGCTGTTGCTTTGCTTTGCTCTTTGCTGCTCAACACACTGGCTGCGGCTGGATCTTGCTTTTGTGCGTTGTCTGAAATGCCAACGAGCTTTCATCGGGTGGCAAATACGGATTTCCCACAAATCGCAAGAAAAAAAAAACCGTTTGGTTCACAATTTGTGCTGTCGTTGTTGCCACCTGTCGCAATCTTGCTCACGCACGCGCGCGGAAGGAAGTGCGTGTGCGTTGTTGCTTCGCCTTGTTTCTTTGTTGCGTCGTCGTTTTGCCCCTGTATTTCTTTCTTTCTTCTTGCTTGCTTGCTTCTTGCGGCTTGGCTTGGGTCGGGTGTTTCTTCTGCGGTCGTGCGTGTGGCTGGCTTGCTTCGCTGTTGCCGCTGTGGCTTGTTGCTTCCACCCATCGTGCGTTTGTTCGTTTGTGTTTTTTTAAGCAGCGTCTTTTTCCTCTCGACCGTGGCACCTCCCAGACCTCCCGCACCTCACACCAACAAAACACTCGCTCGGGCCTGTGTCTTCTGTTCTGATTCCAGTCCAGTCCAGACCAAGCACCAAGCACCACGCACGCACGCACGCACGCACGCACGCACGCACGCACGCACGCACGCACGCACGTCTTGCCGCACCAAAGCCAAGCTTGTCGTCGCACGGAGTGTGTGCGCCATCCAAAAACCGCACCTGCCCGCGTTTGCTGCTCACTTAACGTTGCTTCTTGTGACTTGAGAGCAAAAAAGTGGACTTGTTGGGGTTGTTTCCGCAAGACAGGCAAGCCACAAGTGAGGTAAAGAGCGCAACAGCACGGCCTCATACGCAAGTCCAACGCGTGGCACGTGAGCCTTCCCGCACGTATTTCCCGAAGAAGCCGCTTGCCCGCCACGCGCACAAACCACATCACACTGCGACACAAAGCAACTGAGAAGAAGAAGAACAACAGCCGACGAACGTGTAAAGAAGAAGCAGACAGGCAGGAAGCGAGCAAGGAGCGAGCGCCCGTCTTCTCAGCATCCGTGCCGCCCTTCCGCCACAACTTTTTTTGTTGTGCTGCTGATTTTGTTGAAGCTGTCTTCTTCTTTCTTCCCGACTGGCCGCCATCATCGTTCGCGGGACGCCTCCACCCCCACACCCTCAACACCACGACCACACGCACCCCACCCTCGCTGCGGTTCGCCAGAACCAACGGGCATGTCGCTGGTGATGCCATTCTCCCACCCTTCGAGTCCACCCCCGTACGTCTTCTGTCCGTCTGCATCTGTGACCTGTGTCCTGCTGCTCCTGCTCCTGCTCCTCCTGCTTTGGATTCCCCCTCGTCGGTGCCTGTCACACGCTGTTATTGTTGCTGCTCCTGTTGCTGCTCCTTGTCGCACCTTTGCGGCGAGTCGCACTGACACCCACCCAATGCACACACACAATGCGTGTAGGTCGTCCGTGGGCAGATTGGCGCACGTCACGTCATCGCTGCCCACACGAAGCGACAGTCCCCCGCTCTCACTCGCACACCCATTCTCCCACCAGGTGCGTGTGCGTGTGTGTGTTTGGGGGCTTCTGGCTTCATGCGTCGTCGCTTCTCCTCCCCCCCCCCTGCACCGTCTCCTCCCTCCACCATCTCCTCCTCTCACGCACGCTCAACCATGTGACCCCTGCGACGGCTCTGGTTTCAGGTTGGCGGCCACAGCCCATGTGCGCGGCTGCGCGACTCAAACCTGGTGTGCAAGCCTGCGTCGCCAAAGGAGCTTCTCTTCTACGAGCGCTTAAGGCCGGACCCGCTCGTCCAGTTTCTCCCAGCATACCACGGTGTGTGTGTGGGTGTGCGGGTGTGGGTGTGGATGTGGGTATGGATGTGTAGGTGTGTGGGTGGGTGCGCGCGTCTGGGTGTCTGTGTCAAGGACCAACAACAACAACAACAACAACAACAACAACAACAAGGCCTCACGCTTGTTCATTCGTGTTCCTTCTTTACCCCTTTGCGTGCATGCATCTCAGGCTCACGTCGTGTGCAGTTCCCGCCACTGCCGCCCTGCGACGGCGATGTCCAGCACGAGGATAGCCAGCCCCATCACCATCACCATCATCACCATCATCATCACCATCATCACGAAGTGGATGAGGATGAGGACGACAACGGCAGCTGTCCCTCCAGCGGCGATGACGAAGGTTGGTGTGTGTGTGTGTGTGTGTGTGTGTGTGTGTGTGTGTGTGTGTGTGTGTGTGTGTGTGTGTTTCAGCGTTGTTTTGGTTTGTTGTTTTTCTCTTGTGTTTTTGCTTCTCACCGCCTGTGTCGGAACCATCTCCCAACCGCCCGCTTGCCTGCCTGCGCAGATGAGCTGAGTCCGTGGGGCCGCCACTGCTACAACCGACTGCTGAGTAAACAACCCGACCGCGTTCACAACTGCATTGTGCTCGAGGACCTCACCAGCAAGTGCGTTGCCCGCATGCTGCGTGCCACACACTTGCACGCATCGTCACACCTGCGTAGACTTGGACACGCATGCCCACATGCACCACACATACACATATGCACCACACATACACACGCACACACATATGCACCACACACATGCACTACACATACACTGCACATACACATCTCCACATGTTCCTCACCCAATTCCCTCCGTAACTGCACTTGTCAGGTTCCGGAAGCCGTGTGTGCTTGACCTGAAGATGGGCACGCGCACGTACAGCGACGCGGCGTCGGAGAAGAAGGTGAAGCGCGCACAGGACAAGGCGCACACGACCACCACCGCCTCGCTCGGCATGCGCATGTGTGGGCTCAAGGTGTACCGACACGACGAGGGCGCATACGCCTTCCACGACAAATACGAGGGCCGCGCAGCATCAGCCACCACATTCGGCGTGAGTCGCATATCGTGCGTGTGTGTGTTTTATTGGGGGGGGGGGGTATGGGGGTTCTGACTTGCCTGTTGGCACACTCTTCGTGCGTGTTGGTGTCACCCGCATGTCTCTGCTTCTTTGCAATGTGTGCCCTTCTTGCTTCCCCCTCACCGCCACCACCCCTCATCACCACCATCGTCATCGTCATTGCAGGACTTCATCTCTGCGTTCTTCGCCGCTGTGCCCGCTGGCCACCGTCGTGCGTTCGTGCGTGCTCTCCTGCACCGCCTGCAGCAGCTGCGCGCCGCCATCGCCTCCATCACCCACTACCGCTTCTACTCAAGCTCCCTCCTCCTCGTCTACGACGCCATGCCAAGGTGTGTGTGTGTGTGTGTGTTTGCTTGTGTGTGTGTGTGTGTGTGTGTGTCTGTGTTTGCTTGTGTGTGTGTGTGTGTTTGCTTGTGTGTGTGTGTGTGTGTGTGTGTGTGTGTGTCCTTCCTCTGCCTATGCAAGCATGCCTGTGCGTACGTGCACCTGTGAACGTCAATGCGACTTGTTCCACAAAGCGTTTTTAGAAACCACCAAGCCAGTCCCCTCCCCAAACACACACGCACCCCCTCACACTTCGTCTTCGTGTCACTGCAGCGAGGAGGACCTGTCCCTGGGGCGGTTTTCGGACATGGTGGACCTGCGCATGATCGACTTTGCCAACACGAGCTGCTACGTCGACGGCGCCGACCCCGTCCCGCAAGGGCTCAACCCAAACACCCCAGATGAGGTTCGCCACCGCCACTCTTGGCCGCGCATTGCTGGTGCTTCGTTATCGCCCTGAGCTTTGCTTGTCTGCCACATTCGCCAGTGCTCATTTGCCATACGCCATATGATTTGTGTCACACGCACTCACTCACTCACACATACTCTCACACATACACACACACTCACTTACTCACACACACACACACACTCGCTCACTCAAACACTCACACAACTCCCCCCCCCCCCGCAACGTGCCTCACAAATGTTTTGCGCATGCGCTCGCCGCACCACAGGGCTACTTGTTTGGCCTGGACAACTTGCACGCCTTCCTGCAGAAGCAACTGCTGTTGGACCCGTGATGTGCACGTGCATAAAGCTGCACACATGCGCGCAATGTTGAATTTCCAGTCCTTTCACGCGCTTGGCACTGTCGTTTGTTGTTTTGTCGCCAACACTCCTGCTGCTGCTGTTTTGTTGTTTTGTCACTTACGCCGTGTTGGGCCGTGATGTGATGTTCGCCAGCAGCAGGCGTTGTTGACCCATGTTGATGTGATGCAGACATGTGCCATAGCTTGATAGTCATAGCTTAACTTGTAGTGGGCGCACCCGTTCTCGCTTGTTTTGTCATATTGATGCCTTGCTTGCTTGACTGATTGCTTCATTTGATATGAATGACTCACTGATTGACACCACGCCGCAACCACGCGTTTTGTGGCTGCTGCTTCTCGGCTCCCTAGCCTCCTTCTGCCCCCCCCCCTCGCTCCCTTTCTCTTCTGCTTCTTCTTCCTCGTTCTATGCGATGCTGATGGTTTGTGCTGTGCATTCCGTTGTTGCTGTTCGATCAAGCGCTCGCTCGCTTGTATTCACTCCTTTCTGTTGGGCTGTGGAGACAGAGACGGAGTGCTGTGTAGTCTTGTTGTGTGGTGTATGGTCTCCTGTGTGCTTCTACCGGCGATATCTGAACCACATTAAACAACACAACCGACTCTGCGCGAAGCTGTGTGTGGGTGTGAATGAGAGGACCAAAGAGACTGACAGCGAGCGAGGGAGATGCCATGCGCACCGTCTCCATGCAACTTCGCCGCGACGACAACAACGCCGTGCTGTCAAGCACCACCATTGTCCTTGTGTGAATCCATCTCCGCACCCGCCTGAGTTGAAAATTGACGAGTATTTTACATAACATTCGAGCCAAATACAGGAACACAGCGGAGCATCAACGACCCCCACAAACAGCCACCGCCACAGCCACAGCCGACACAACCAACTCTCGCATCAAGCAGGCACCATGGCGTTCTTGGACCGTGTGCCTGACCACCGCAACTTGCGCACACAACGGTAGGCTCACACACACTTGCATGCACCCATGTGGAGAAGAAGCTGAGCCAAGGCGATGCAGAGTGTTTGTGGCAGTTGAGCAGCCTCATCGTTCACGATCGGCCTGCCAATGTGTCCGTGCTTCGCTGTCGTGTAGGTTCTCGCTGCTGCTGCTGCCACATGATGACGTGTACTTTGAGGACTACAGCGCCAACATGTACCGTCCCGGGCATGAACAAGAGTAAGTGTGTGGGTGTGTGTATGCGTGTGGGTGTGGGTGTGGGTGTGTGTGTGGGTGTGTGTGTGTGTATGCGTGTGTGTGGGTGTGTATGCGTGCGTGCGTATGTGTGTGTGTGTATGTGTGTATGCGTGCGTGCGTGCGTATGTGTGTGTGTGTGTGTGTGTGTGTGTATGCGTGCGTGCGTATGTGTGTGTGTGTGTGTGATGAGAAAAAGAGTGGGGGCCGTGCTAATTCCTGCTCTCTTACTCACCCACCCCCCGCCCCCTCTGCCCTTTACCACCGCCGACTTTCCAGGCCAATTGAGGGTCGTATCAAGGTGTGCGCAAGCTGCTTGGTGTTCGATCCAAAGGACTACAACCATCCCATCTACTCTGTAAGAAAACAAGCAAAAGAGCATGAGTGCAAGAGACGAGGCAGACAAAGGAGGTGTTGAGAGGAACGGCAACTTGCTGTGTGCGCAATCGCTGTCATTCACAATTCCTGCTTGTGGCATGTGGTGATCTAGTTTCCTCACAAGGACATTCAAGACTACACATCATGGGTTGATTCGCGGCATAACATCAGCGGTGCGTGGTGTGTGTGTGTGTGTGTGTGTGTGTGTGTGTGTGTGTGTGTGTGCACGTGGGGGTGCATAGTTGCGTGTGTTTTCATGCGTGTTGCTGCGTCTCTCTGATGTGTGTTTGTGCTTGCTCTCATGCCCAACGCATCCACCACAGGGTTCAAGCTGACAACGAAGCACTACACCAAGATGAAGTAAGACTGCGCTTGCTCGAATGTGCTGCGTACTTGCCATGTTCAGCGCGCGCCCGCCCACGCATGTCACAACCTCACAACCTCACGCTGCCATGCACTGCCGTGCTGCGTTCCAACTGCCCATCAGAGAGGCCAATCTGGTGCGCCCCTGGCAGAACGAGCGACCATCAACGCCACAGACGTTCGCGTTCTCCCCGACGTTTGCCGGCTGCCACGAACTCCTGCCTCGCTTGCAGCAGGTGCGACACGTGTGTGTGTGTGTGTGTGAAAGTGTGTGAAAGTGTGTGTGTCTGTGTGTGAAAGTGTGTGAAAGTGTGTGTGTGTGTTTGCGTAGACAGAGAGAGGGGGCGGAAGCGTGCACGCGTGGCTGGCTGTGTCTTGCACACGTTTGGTGAAGCGCGCACCTGCTGCAATCAATGCTCACACACACACACACACAATTGAATGCACAGCTGTACTTTGCGTGGAAAGACAAGACGTACACGGAGACGCAGACCATGCTGGCCGACATCACAAAGCGCCACCAGGTTGAACCGTGGTTGTGTGTGTGTGTGTGTGTCTGTGTGTGTGCGCGCATATGTGTGTGTGCGTGTGTCTGTGTGTGCGGTATTGCCGTCGTCGAGTGCTGTGCGTGCTCACACGTTCTCGCTCGTGGACCAATCTGTTCCCTGCAGGCCGGCATCACCTTCAACATGGGATGGATCGAAGACCTCTCAGAACAGGTGAATTTGCTTCGGTGGAGGAAGAGAAGAGACAACCTGCAATGATGAACAAGTGCAAACGCACGCGCGCACACACACACACACACACACACACACACACACACACACACACACACACACACACACACACACACACACACACACACACACACACACACACACACACACACAC